ATCGGATCCAAAATCCGTAATTCCAAATATTTTTTACATAATTCCAATTCCAATTCAAAAAAATCGAAAAATATCGAAAATTGGAATTTTGATAATCGGAATGAAAAAATTTGTTCCAAAATTAGAATCTTTCGGCTTGAAATCGGAAAAAAAATGGAAATTATGTTCCAACTTTCACCCCCTAGTAACCATTAAAAACTCTTTTTGACAAATTTCCCCTTAATATATTATTGTAAATACTTCATCAAGGTTTGTTTTAATATTATGAATATCCTCTTTGGTAAGTGCAATTTGCAGAATAGAAATAAATATCAAAAGAATATTCGTAATTTAAAATGTTAATGATTCATTTAGCAAGTTAGAAATACATAATTAAGTAATAACAACAACAATAATTAAATAATAATGCAAGTGACTGTGTTTTGGCAAACCATGATTTGCAAATTGTATAACTACATAACTATTACAGCCCAGAGTATGTATGTATGTATGATAATTTATGTCCACACCAGCTTTTCCAGGCAACACTAAATACACTCCCCACAAGTATATTATTTCATCGTAAAAAAAATTAGTTTACTATAGTACTTAAACAAACCTGAATAAACGAGCGAGAGTTAGAAAAGGAAGTAATTACGTGAAAGCGGAACTGTGGCAGCAGCGGTGCATGTAAGAACCTCGCCATCTGCAGTGACTGTGTATGCCTCTGGGTCGACTGTGATCTGAGGAAGTGCGTCGTTCAGCTTCATATCGAGCTTTGTGAGCTTCCTCACATTGCTTACAGCTTCCAACCTTTTGTTAAGTCCATAATGTTCTTTTATTCCCAAATCCAGAGCCACCTGCAGTAACAAATCCACGATTTAAATATAATTTTTTTTATAAATAACAAATAATCGAATATATATATATATATATAGGCAAAATAATATACCTTGCTGACAAAAGCGATTGAATTGGAACTAGCAGCCTTGCCAAATGCTCCAAACATGGGCCTCATTGTCACCTGTACAAAAACTTGTACACGTTAAATGTGAAGGATTTCGTGTGTAGTCGCTTCGACTTCAAAATGAAATGATAAACTTCGATCTTTCTGAGATGATTGTGTTAGTCGAGTCAAGTCCTCACAAAGCATGCAACAGACTAAAGATCCTCTCAACATAATTAAGTCAACGGAAAGTAAAAGTTCCTTCAAAAGCAACTTAAAGTTGGAAGTTAAATTTTAGTGAGGTATTGCTAATAGAAGAACTAGGTTATAAATAGCTATTACTAATTAATTTATTTATTTATTAATGTTATTATTAAAATTTACCGGTTCTGGAGTGGGGATGCTTGCATTTGGATCACCCATATCAGACCATGCTATTGTTCCACCTTTTACGACCATCTCAGGTTTGGTTCCAAAAAATGCCGGTTTCCATATAATAAGATCAGCAAGCTTGCCTACCTGCACCAAATCAATATCGTAAAGTTTCAGTTTACACATTTGCTTGACTACAAGTACTCGTAGAAGTTTCTCAGATAATATCACCACGTATAATGACCAAATTCTCACAAAAAGAGATGACAATAATAGTAATGTTATTTTACCTCAACAGATCCAACATACTTAGAAAAACCACAAGCTATAGCAGGGTTAATTGTGTACTTTGCAATGTATCTCTTGATACGTAAGTTATCATTTTGTGGTGCACTGCTTTCGAGTGGTCCTCTGACTGACTTCATCTTGTTCGCAGTCTGCCAAGTTCTGCAAATTACCTGTCAACAATAGAATATGGATAATGTCAGTACTCTTGCCAAATGCAAATGTTCTGCAAATTGGGATTATGTTTACCAAATCATTGAAAAAAGAGTAGGATAGAAGAAAACTTAAGAAAGAATAACCTCTCCAATCCGACCCATAGCTTGAGAATCAGAAGATATGATACTTATCGCTCCCATATCATGCAAAATGTCTTCTGCAGCAATTGTTTCAGCACGAATTCGTGACTCGGCAAAAGCAACATCCTCTCTGATATTTTTGTCAAGGTGATGGCAGACCATCTGCAGAATGCATTTTTAACCATTTTCATAACTTCAATTCACCTTATTTATTTTTGGTTAAATACTATGGTACGAGCATTACGCATTAGTGTTGCCACTTACAAGCATGTCAAGGTGTTCGTCTACAGTATTGGTGGTGAAAGGGCGTGTCGGGTTAGTTGAAGAGGGGAGAACATTTTTTACACCACAAACTTTAATAATATCTGGAGCATGACCACCGCCTGCACCTTCACTGTGAAAAATAAAAGAAAAATAGGTAAACAAGGGCATATGTATATGTACACACTAGTACAGTTAAAGGGGTTTTTCAACATTATCTGTCAACTAGCAGAATTTATATACCTGTGGTAAGTATGAATAGTTCGATCTTTAAATGCAGCAATTGTATGCTCGACAAATCCAGATTCGTTTAATGTGTCGGTGTGTATATTAACCTACAAAAAAATGCATGATAAGCAAATGACGAATTGAAAAGCATGAAGAGGCTCGTTTTGATCCAAGCAGAACCAACTACCTGAATGTCGTATAATTCGGCAACAGACAAACATTTATCTATTGCAGCTGGAGTAGTTCCCCAGTCTTCGTGGAGCTTCAACCCCATAGCTCCAGCTTTGATTATTTCATGTAGGCCCTCTTCTTTGGAGGAGTTACCCTGCAATCACAAAGAACTGTAATCAAGAAAATATTGAGATATCCACATGCAGAATGTGAATTTTGAATGAAACATGTTTGTAGGACACAAAAATGAAGTTCGTGAAGTAGAGGGCCTACTTTTCCTGTAAACCCAAAATTGAGGGGCAACTCATCGGTTGATTGCAACATTAGTTTCATGTGGAATGGTGCTGGGGTACAAGTAGTTGCTCGGGTCCCATGAGCAGGTCCTGTACCACCTCCCACCAACGTAGTGATGCCTACATAAATAAAAAAATATAGTAAATAATAAAAGAAAAAATAAATAAAAGACCGTGAGGGAAGAATGTTAAGGAGTTATTCTTTAAAAGTACGAGAAACTTGAAGTATGGAGTATGCTCTGTCGGAAGTAGAACATCACTGACAACAGTGCATCTACACTAATAGCATTGTGGTATCACTAATCGGTATCATAAATCACAAGGACAAAAATTACTATAATGATAATAATCATTTTATCCTAATAACTCGAGCTTCTAGGGAGTAAAATTTATTCACTTGGTAACCAAGTATACAAGAAACTACGGGTTTCCTTTCACAAGTCACAACTATTTCTTTTGATTTCAATTGTTTTCCACCACTCATCTTTCAATAACATGAAATATATTTTCATATAAATATAATGTGGATATCTTGGTTGGTTTCTCAAGATGGTGGTGCAAACTCAATAAAGACGTCATGTATACTAGTAGAATGCTTTTACCAAGTTTATACTAAAGCAAGTGAAAGATTGGATCACGATCAGCTTTCTTATAATCGCAATTTGTATAAAAGTATTACTGTGAAATTCTCACCACTTGTTATTGCTTCATAAGCTAATTGAGGGCATATAAAATGCACATGGCAATCTATAGCTCCTGCAGTAACAATCATTCCTTCTCCAGCGATAACCTCAGTATTTACCTGAAAAGAACAGAACCCGATTAATACATAAACCAGTAAGACCAAACTGACATATTCTGAAGTCGAGAACTTACTCCTATAATCATGTCGGGTGACACGTCATTCATGATATCTGGGTTACCTGCTTTCCCAATAGAAGTAATATAACCATCTTTGATGCCTATATCCGCCTTATATATTCCTGTGTAATCAATTATTACGGCATTTGTTATTACAGTTTCCAAACAATCACTTAATTGATATCCAGAGGCCTGCCCCATTCCGTCTCTCAGAACTTTTCCACCACCAAATACACACTCATCCCCGTAAACAGCATAATCTCTCTCAATTTCCGCTAATAAATCAGTGTCCCCAAGACGAATTTTATCGCCAGTGGTAGGACCATACATATTAGCGTAGGTTTCATGAGACATTGAATAGGAAAAAGAAGAACCCTGTTCAATGACACCTTCCCTGCAGAATAAGGATGGCTGGCTAAGCAAAACGCATGAAATATAAGTTGATCATATTTAAAAAAAACTCTAAAATTTAGGATTTGTCTGACATAGCATTTGCTTCCTCTGAAAAACCGTATCTTCCTTCATGTACGGCTTTCATCACTGATGTGATGTTGGTATCGTTCACCTGACCATCAGCAATATTATTTCCTCCCCGAATAACTTGTTCACCTCCAATTCTGACAAGGGTAACACTTTTTGTGTCCCCTGGCTGCACAAATAAGACAAACATTAAGACACGCTCTATGTGGATTTTCGACAAATTTGAGGTGCATCATCTGAAATATATATATATATATATATATTTTAAATATAACTTGCACTAGAACTTCGAACATGTAACTCAAACAATAAACTATTATCAAGAAGTTTTTGGGTTGATTAATTTACTTCAGATCAATGATGAGCTGAAGTGAAGGTCAGCTTGATACAAGCAAATTCAAAACAAACTTTGATTCGGTAGGCAAGAATCCCATAAATAACCATTTTATTGGTAGATGAATAAGCATTAATAGAAACTCGGCTGCAATATGCAGATTTTTTCGACAGCTCAATAGTGTTATCTAAGTGTGCGCTACCGCATATGCTAGAATTTGCAAAATTATTGCACGAACATAATAACTTGCATCAGAAGGCCTATACTTATTGAAAATGCATATGGTTAGTTACAAAGAATACAAGGTCAAAACTGATACCTCAAAACGAGTGGCTGTTCCTGCAGGGATATTTAGCCTCAGGCCGTATGCTTTTCTTCGATCAAAAACTAAGTACGGGTTGACTTCAATAAAATGATAGTGACTCCCAACCTGCAGAAGAATATTTTTTAACAAAACAGTCCTAACAGTTCAAATAGTTTCATCAGTAAGCAATGAGTAGAAAGTCAATACTTATACGCTATATGGTTGTACATATCAACCTAATGAAGAATGCTAGTACATGGTGCAAAATTAGGTCAGATCCAAAAGTCACGGCTAAATTGACCATTGTGCATGTTCTAAATAACTGAACTGCGTTATTTTGTGTTCCTTCTCTATATATTACAAAACGCTATATGAAGATCTAAACAGTATGCCTGGAACATGTCCAACCACCAATTTAATCAGCAAGAATACATGATCTTCATTAAAGGATATGGCAAGCTTGTGTGCAACTGAGAAAGGAAAATTCACGAGGAAGAATTTTCTGGGCAGGGTTGGCGATAAAATATAAATAAGCCGTTTACAATATAATTACCTGAATAGGCCTGTCCCCTGTGTTGGTTACTTTGAGAACTATGGCTTTCCTTCCCAAGTTAAGTGTAATACGTCCAGGCCCAAAAAATAATTCACCGGGAATATTACAAATTTCAACTGGAGGAAACTTGTCTAAAGAAGGAACTGCAAGAAACATAAAACAGTACATTCAGGAGCAATTCCATAGCTACTGATGATCAAACACAATAAATATTTTTTTATCATGACAATCACCTGGGAAGAAAGATCCGTGCAAAGCTAGTTCCAGATTTCCGTTTTCACACGATATGGGATCGTGGATCGTTATCAACTTTGTTCCATCCGGAAAGGTCCCCTCTACCTATTCGTATATCAGCCCCGAATATTAATTTTCTTAAATCATGATTTCCGTCTTTGCTAATTCAAAAGATCACAAAATTATTTCATTAAAACAATCGCAATTAGTACCTGGACCGTCTCCAAGAGATAAGGAACAGAGGGAAGAACTTGCCTCCTGCAAACACATAAAACAAGGATCAGTTTATCTGATCGAAGATGCGCTTAGTCGCCGCAGCTTGATTGAGACATTTTTTCAAACACTTAGACTACAGACTAAAAAAAAAAAACTAAAAAAAAAAACTAAAAAAAAAGGATATTAAATTTTGCATTAATACCTTCCTAGCAATTGCCTACCAATATCCATCAATTCCACCACGCTTTTATCCCCATTCCGAACGAATTCCAGTATCTATTCAGCAGCCCAAAGTTAAATCAATCGGATATATATGAACACTGAAAGAAATGAGTTTGTGATGAACTGCACACACACACACACACACACAGAATGAAAGACTGATTCAAATCCAGCTCTATAAAATGCAACTCAATGAATACTTCCAAAAAAAAATGTCAGATAAAAATCCGAATACCTGCGTCGCAATCAGAGCAACGGCTTCAACGTGGTTAAGCCTTACTCCACGCGCCAAACGCTTCTGCGCCAACGCTCCGGCATTGTGGAGCATCAATTTCTCAATCTCTCTCGGCGCCAACTTCATCTCTGCCGATTTTTCCCTCTAATTTCAGATTAAAAAAAAAAAAACAAACTAGAAATTGATTTCCTGATCTTAAATTGAATTAAAAACTAAGCAAGTTTTTTGAACAAGTTCAGAGCGATGGAAATCATATTATTTACTTATTTAATTGAATTATTTTCGTATGTCAAAATCATGTTCAGATTATATAAATTTATGAATGCAAAATCATTTGGGTTTTGACTTTTTGTGGAGAAGATGGCCAATTTATGCTTATTTGAGTTTTTGATGCAACAGGGGCAACTCTACTGAGATTTTGACAGTATCTTGTAGAGATTCCAAAAAGGCACAGTTTTCGAATCAAATTAAGGACAAATTTCACTTTGGCCCCTTGCAATTTTCATTTTTGCAATTTGCCCCCTACAAATTTAAAGAAAATGATTCTTTCCCTTTCTAATTTTATTTCACTTGAGCTTTGCCCCAAATTAGAAATTTTTGGCGTTTTTTCATTGGGATTGACATATGTGCATTCACTTCAAAGACATTGGTGATATTTCATATTCACATCCAAATCCTAATATCCTTATTTTTTCTAATATACGAAAAACTCAACTCGTTTCACTCAAAACAACAACAACAACGAAAAAAAACCTCCCAAAACGAATTGTGCTTATTGTGACCCTCGAGCTGTGGGAAACTTCATTTTTTTTTAATTTGGCAGCTATTACGGTGATCCATCCCTAAAATAACGGAAATGCCCTTCAATTGGAAGAATTCATGGCAATTTTGGCGAAAAATGCGTCGGAAATTATAATTTGAGGCAATGTGCCATCGTAACAAAATTTTGAAGGAGGAAATCTCTTTTTTGAATTTGTAGGTCAGTGAAGTGTGCAAAAATTGAAATTTTCTAGGCAGCGAAGCGTATTTTGTCCCAAAATAAATTGTGAAAAAATATAACATGATTGATTTAATTTCATTGAGAAATTGTTCACAATCATATTTCTCTAAGATGTTATTACCATTATAAATAGCAAATGGACATCACCACAAATAAATCACCAAATGTAAATCAAATAGCCCAACTATTTTGAATCACCAATATAAACCACTATAAAACGTAAATAAATTCTGAAAGGTACGGCCTACCGATTGAAGCGAGTGAATTTGTGTTAATTAATCCAAGTTTGAATTTGCTTGTCAACGACTGCTAGACCAAACTAATCACATATGGCTACTGGTTAGTTTAGTGTGATTTACGTTAATTGGCTATAAAATTGGACCAAATGAGCAAAATCGATAAGTTGACAACTTGGACAACGAATCTTGGAGAAGACTATTTGATGCTACTTTCATTACACTAAAATGTTTTGATGACATTAATTTACCTTTTAAAAAATAGGCACTTCATAAATATACTTATATTGTTGCTATATTCAACTCCCAACTGGTAATAAACAATAAAGTATACAAGTTCTACTTCTTCAACGGTTATTTAAAAAATTTAAGCTGATGTTCGAAGAAGACAAAAAATAATTCCAAATTGTGCAAGTACATGCACACTACACATATAATTCATATTTATTCTATAAGAAATTAGTTTTTAAAAATGTAGTAATTAGTGGAGAAGTCAGTATAGGACCAGGGGCCATTGCCCCCTCCTCCCCTCATATTTTAATTTTATTTATTGCTATATATGTATATATAAGTTATTATTTTGTATTGTACTACTATAATTTTAACAATTTAGTTTTATTTTTAAAATAAAATAAATTGTTTTTAATTGAAGAGAACAAAGAAAAATAATAAATGAATGTAACAAGTTGCATAAGGAAGTTATGAATTGTGGCTCAGGAACTCGGGGCGACTCCACTCTCAATAGAAAAATATTTCACTATATCATTGATACGCGTAAAACCTACGTATGAAAAACCGCAAGTGTACGGTATCGCGTTTTGTAGAATAGTGAATTCCAGATATCGATCCACAGGGAATTAAGTTCCTAAATTTACCAAGTACCGTAATTATACTATCCTAAACTTTATCTAGACCACCAAGAATGGATGGGAGAAATGAAACTAAAAAGAAACAATAAATAAAAACAACGGTCCGCCAGTATAAACGAGGAATTCCGACGTGTGATGGCTTCTAGGGCAATGTACTATCGATAAAGATCTACAAATCTAAATCTAATGTCAATTCTATGTTCGCTAACCCAGACACTAAAATACCCTAACCCCCGTCTCCAGTGTAGTTAGAGTCTACCCACAGGTCCGACGTCTCCGTTCAAAACCTGATATTAAGAGAGCATTTAGGTCAAGTCCTTAAGGGCTACCCGAGGTGCATCACATCTCCGTTTCCACAACCCGAGCTATGTTTTCCTAACATCAAACGAGAAATCCTCTCTCGAGTTCATTCCCATTTAGAATCAATTCAACTGTTGGCCAAACAATCGAAAGCATTTAATACAGGAAAACATAAACATAATCAAAGATCGACAAATAGATCACAGATCTGGAAATCAAAATCAATATATATAAGGTTTCATTTCCCTAAAAGAAAATGCTCAGTTCATTACAAACATAGCATCAAAATGAAGAACACGAGAAATCATAAACTAAAAGTAAGGAAAAGCTTATGAAAAACCCTCGTCGAAGCTTCCAGCGAATAACTGGCGAAAACCGAAGAAAAGGTCGAGATATATGTCTTGATGTGTCGAGCTCTTCAAAAATGAATAAGGGACCTTCTATTTATAGTTAGAAATCAAAGAAAAATATCTCGTCTCGAATTATGTGCCCAGATCGCGATCTGGGCTTCTTGGATCGCGATCTGGCAGCCTTGGAAACTGCGCACCGCCTTTCCAGATCGCGATACGGGAATGGTGAATCGCGATCTGGTTCTTGATCAAAAAATGTACTGTGAGACCCCCCAGATCGCGATCCAGGAAGGATGGATTGCGATCCAGAAAGTCTGGATCGCGATCTGGGTCCTGATCAAGAAATCGTTCTGTAAGACCCCCCAGATCGCGATCTGGGCTTCTGCGCCAACTTCAAAACACTATTTTCACCCTTTTTTAGCCCGAATTTGACAATTTTGCATTTCACAAAAGTTGTAGATCTTGACGTTAGCTTTCTAAGGCCACTTGAATCAGCTCAATCGGAGGTCGTATGAAAAAGTTATGCTTGAAATATGAAACAGTGCCACAACCCGAGATAATGCACTTTTTCACGTATTTGGTTTGATTTTCGACTTCGCTTCCAAAATCGTTTTGAATCGGCAAAAATAGCTTCTCTTTACCTAAAATATAAATAAAACAAAAACAACATAATATATACAAATAAAGCCGAAAACTCGGACGAACGAAGACCAAAACTCGAAGAATTGATAAGTGAAAATCATGCAAAATGAACACTTATCAATTATACATTTATATTTATTTAGTCCATCAAATTTTCTAATTTAATCCCCTAGAATTCAAATTAATTCAAAAAAAGTTTTAAAAAGTTTTTCTTTCCTTTTTTTTTGTTTTCCTATTTTATGGTTTTGATCACAAATGAATCCGAAAACTTTGATTTTTTATGAGTTTGGTTATTTGATATGATATATTATTTTATGTGAATAGTGTAGTAACACATTTCGAAATGAAGACATGCATATGGATGAAACTTTGAGACAGTTGAAAGGACTCATCATTCTTTTTGAAAAGTATAGGAAAACGGGTTTTGAGAAAGCATAAAAGAAGATGAAGTAGTTGCCACAAAATTGGGTAATCAACCAGTATTTCGGACGAGACGAGTAATTAAAAGAAAAAGGTAATTTTACGAGAATGAGAGTGAATACACACCCCCAATCAGCACAAGAAACTTCTAGAGTTGATTTTTTCATGTTTGGCATTGATAGTTCTTACTTCATTAAGAGGGAGATTTGAAAGTTTGAAGGAAAAATTGGATTTTTGTTAGATCTAAAGAAGTGAAAAGTGGTTGATGATTAATGTCTGATGGCTTCTTTCTTGTGTTAAGCTTCAATGCCTTTTAAAATATGATACATAATCTAATATTGACGGGGAAGACTTATTTATTTAATGAACTAAGAATGCTGAGAGAAATTCTGAAAGAAGTAGCAACAGTCTTGAATTAAAATGGCTTTTGAAGGAAAGGTACCTGATACGATGGAAAACGCACTATTTGTAAACAAAGGCTAGAAGGATTTTCAAAACGCCACTACATTTGTTTTATTGTAAAAGTCAGGCGAGATAGGACGTAGGTACATTGGACTCCCCGAGTTGCAGATATGATTAAGATTAACTTTGATGCATTGTGAGTGTTGAAGAGGGTACATGCAGTTTGGAAGGGATAACGAGAACGAGTTAGGGAGAATGTGTTGGATGGCACACAAAATATATTAAAAAAAAACTCCAATCCCACCTCTACGGAAGCAAATGCGGCCTTTTTGGCTATTGAAATGACGCGAGACAATCATTAGAAGAGATAATGTGTTAGAAGGTGACTCGAGTTGTGTTACTTTATGCTATTTAATTTGTGAAACTAGTTTACGAGCATCCTACGGAACCATCATCGATGATATAAAGTACTTAGGAGCGGACCTTGGGATGTTTCAAGCTCAACACATAATTAGAGAAGGCAACAAAGTGGTTCACGGAAGAAGGATAGATATGAGTTCATGTACTACCTACTAGGATTATATCTATGATTCTTACTAAAACTTTATTATAAATAAAGATCACGTTTTTTTCCTAAAAAAAAAAAGTATTGAATTATTTGAAAGCGATGAGTGTTAGTTTTTTAAATGCATGAGTTGCTTATATGATACTATTGTAATATTAGTCATAGTTGCCTCTGCGGAAAGAAGTTTCTCAGAGTTGAAGTTAATCAAATTTTACCTCCGATCAACCATGAGCCAGGAAAAACTAAATGAATTAGCTTTGTTATCTAGTGAAAAAGATTTGACATTAAAACTTAATTTGACTAGTTTAACTAGTAATTTTGCAGCTCAGAAAAAAAAAAAAAAAAAAAAGACATCACAGTTTGAACATTTCAATAGTTCGAATAGTCATAACAATATTATATATATATATATATATATATATATATATATAAAAGAAGATTTTTTTTTTTTTTGAACTTATAAAAGAAGATTTATATATAAGATATGTTGCTATGAAGAATATAACATTCATTAATTTTAATGTAAATATTTATTTAAATATAACCCGTCCGGTTTAATTGTTTTCTGAGAAAAAATTTAAATGTATTTTTTAAAGCGATAAAATCGATAACATAATAAAATGAAGAAAAAAATAAACAGAGATTTCTCTTGTAAATTTCAGTCTAATTCAGACTGATGAGACGTGGTAGCTTCAACCTTCCCTCTATGCTGCATGATTTCATTTTATTTATTTTAAAAATGCTACTAGTTAGTAATCTTTCGTTTAATATTTTATTTATTTATTCCTATTGGAATGAGACAGTGGGTCCAGGCCACTTATTCTAGAAATTAATTTACTTTCTTATTATAAATTGTGAGTATGTTCATACAATATATCTTACACGTAGGGCTCGTTTGTTCCTGCTTCAAGGTTCTAATAACTAATAGTATGGGCTAGTAATACGTTCGACTGTTAAAATTGACGTTCTTTTGTACTTGTTGTTATAGAAAATCAAAGTCCACTATTAAATACTAGTATTTATTAAATTAGTAGCACTATTTCTCCGAGTTTAATTTAATAGGAAGTGATTAAACAAGTAAAAGAATATTTTACCATTTGAACTACTTGTTAAATAAAAGGTAATATAGACAAATCATATATAATATCATAATTTAACAGATTTAAAACAAAATCTATTCTTACATGCCAAACATCATACTAACTAATTAATTAATTAATCAATAGAGAATTAATTCAGTCTCACATAATCTAAAATCTAGACGTATTCGATATAGGTAACCATACAAGCCTCTCTCTCTCTCTCTCTCTCTCTCTCTCTCTCTCTCTCTATATATATATATATATATATATATATATATATATATATATATATATATATATATATATAAGCCCTCGTAAATAAGTGACTACCGGAGTTGGAATCTGCAAGGGGTTGTTGGATTCTTCAAATATTTAAAGAAAATATTCAGTTTTTTCGTAAATTAAGCATGTAAGTGGATGTTGTTAGATGGAACAAATCTTGGGGGTTTTCTTAGTAATTATTGATACTTTAGGGGTTTTTGGTAATTTGACCATACCTCGAGGATTTTTCCATGAGTTGTAATTTATTTTTCAATTTGATTAAACTTAAGGACATCATAGAAATTACATTTTTTTGTTAAGAAATTTGGTCAACCATTAATTAGATGGGGTTCTTTATAATTATGAATTACTTTAGGAATTTTTGGGTAATTAGGCTTTTGGCTCAAAGGATTTTTGGGTAATTTATCCAACATTTTTAATTGATAAATAGTTTGCTCATAAGTTTCATCAATACTATATGTGAATACACCTCAGAGTTTTTTCACATTTTATTTACACGCAATACACAATCCTAAATTCCGTGAAAACAAATTTAGAAAATTGGAACTTTTAAAATTTGGGATGAAAAATATTGTTTCAACCTTGAAATATTTTGGATCGAAACTCATAAATTATGCTCCAATTTCTACTCATGGTAGTAACTAGGGGCAGAAATCGGACGGAATCGATCGAAAATGACTTTTTCGGAAAACTTCCAAAAAATTCGAATGTAAAAAATGGGTTTCAATTTCCGTTCCAAAAAAATCGAAATGCGAAAGTTCATTCCGTTTTCGGAATGACTCGGATCGGCGGAAGTTTATAATCTATTGTTCCAAATTCGGATATATAATGAGAATTTTCGCAATATTTTTCTATCTTTTCCAAAATTTTGTAGGAAAATGAAAGAAAATCTAAAAGAGAGTTCGGCAAAAACACAATAAATCAAACCACATATAGGAACAACAACAAATTCAAACATAAATTTTCTGATTAAAAAAAATACAACATAGAGTTTATGATACACTAATTAATCTTTTCCAAGGTTTTATTTTACTTGATATTTTGTATTTATATTTTTCATATAAAATATGATATAAGTATTATTATGAAATTACAAAATATATCATAACATTATATTATATATTTCAAAAAACAATCGAAATATTCGGAACTAAAATCATATCGGAAATCGTAATTCCCGGTAAATTTATATACAATTCCAATTACTTTCCAAATAAATCCGAAAAATCGAAAATTGGAATGAAAAATACAGTTCCAAATTCTGATATTTTCAGATCGGAATCGACGGAATTCAAAAATTCCATTATGATGTCCGAGTGTAAAAATGATTTCATTGGAGTTAACCGAATATTCCAATTTTATATTTCATAATTGTGCCTTTGTCTATGTCACGCAGTCACGTTACAAATTCCATCAACAACTCATTTCCCAATTTTGTATTCCATATCTCTATACATATATATATATACATTGGTCAATTGCCATAAATTCCTATATTTTATTGACATTTCATTCCATTTTTTCTCATTCCGACAGCATTTAACTTTCTTCACATAGTGTAAGAACAACTTCTTCTTCTTCTTCTTAATCTTAATTACGTTGTATGAATTTGATGATTTCGTGTTGATTTCATTTCCAATTCTGTGCTTCATCATTTATCAATGCATTTAATTTTTACATAAATTTGGCCCTGCCTTTTGTGTGTGTGTGTGTGTGAGAGAGAGAGAGAGATTATATGAGTAAATGCTTGTGTTCATGCTAATGATGACAATGATCTTCATGAAAAAAGAAGTACAAAAAAAAAAACTAATAAAAATTTTCGATTTCTTGATTAGGTTATAATGGTTCTTGGTGTGAAATCATCGAAGCACAAAAAGAAGGGCCCGTCGATTAAACTCGATTACATCGTCCACGTACAAGAGATCAAACCGTGGCCCCCTTCCGAATCCCTCAAATCCGTACAAACCGTTTTACTCCAATGGGAAAACACCGACGAAAACTCCGGTTCCTTCATCTCCGTCGCCGGAGAATCCAACATCGTGTTCAACGAGTCTTTCATGCTCCCCTTAACTCTTTACCGACGAAAAAAATTCCCCGAAAAATTCAAGAAAACTTACCTAGAGTTCACCTTATCCGAGCCCCGTAAGGACAACAAGACCAAACCACAACCCCTCGGTATCGCTTCGATTAATCTCGCGGATTACGGATTATTAGTCGAAGATGTGCTAACCGTTAGCGCTCCACTAGTCTTCAAGAAGAATATTCCTAATTGCTCGGTGCAGTCATTTTTGGCTATTAGTTTGGAGCTCGTTGAAAAGGATAGTTCCAACGACTCGTCGCGTTTATCGCACGAGGCGTCTTTGGACAACGATGACGAGGATTCCGAAATCACCTCTTACACCGACGATGATGCTTCTTCTCATTCGTCGAGGACCGCCGGATCTTCGACTTTTGAGCTCGCAATCGCTTCACCGTCTCTAAGCGAGAAGGTTTGGCTATTTTATTTTATTTTATTTTTTCTAATTTTTCTTGGTAATATTTTCGCTTATGTTAGAATATAATAAGGATATTTCGATGACGAAAAATTGAATTTGCTCTGATACCATGTTAGAATAGAAAAGTACGGAAAGCCAACAGCTTAAGTCATATTGCAACAACTTGAACTTATTAAAAAAAATGTAGAGTGGATATGGATACGCCGGAATCGACCTTACAAGAGACCGGAGCAAGAATTCGTGGGGCCCACCATCGGCCGATCAGGCATCGGCCGGTACATGGAACAAAGTGAAGGACTATGTTTCGTTGTCCAAATTCTCTGAACGAAGCATGACGTTAATGAAGAAGAAATCGGAACCCCCTTTGATTATCTCCGCTCCGATATTGTCCACGAGTTTTAGTGACACAAGCGGAAGGTTCAACAACATCATACCGAATTCTCTGCTCGAAAGCATTTCACGCGATGCGATAGCCGGAAACCAACAGCACGATAACACTCAACAAACTGCGGAGGATAGATTCCTCGAGAAACTTGCGCAGGAAGCTACCCCGGTCGATCATTTCAAGAAAAACGGTGTTGGTATTAACTCCAACTTTTTCGAAGAGAAACAGTCGAAACAAGAAAAGATTATGGACGAGACCATGAAGAATTCTATGGAGAAAATATCGACTCCGAAATTATCGGAAAACGTTAGTAAAAATCAAGTTCCGACGAGGAGCGACTCTTTAGTTCCGAATAGGAAAATACCGGCAGTTCCTTTGTCGAACAAAGCTCGGTTGAAGCATGCAAAGTCCGAAAATATAATTGGTTCGGCGAAATCGGATTTAGTAGATACACCACCACAAAAGAAATCGGGTAAAATTAGTGCGGTTATCGAGAGAAAAGATTCGAAGAAAATTGATATTTACGAGGGTCAAAAGGATTGGAAAATACGAGCTGAGATGCTCGAGGAGGAATTGAGGGAAGCGGCAGCTGTTGAGGTTGGTTTATATTCGGTAGTTCCGGAACATTCTAGTTCGGTAAATAAAGTACACGCGCCAGCTCGTCGAATTTCAAGATTTTACAAAAATGCCTGTGGGTTAAATTGTCGAGCCAAACGGGCTAGTGCTGCAAGAGCTGCTGTGTCTGGATTGGTTCTCGTTTCTAAAACATGCGGGAATGACGTTACGAGGTATTGCAAATGCTCGTAAAGCTCGTACGTTTTTTTAGTAAAATTTCAGTAAATGAAAACTTAATCGTATTTTTTTGTTTTATATATAGGCTGACATTTTGGTTATCGAATTCGATAATGTTGAGGTCGATCGTGAGCCAAATTGCTACGGAATTGCCTGGTTTGAAAATCGAGGAGCAAAAGTCAAAGTCAACCGAAGAATCCGACGACTGTGAGGACATCTTGACATTCATTATGGCGCTCGAGAAAATCGAGTCTTGGCTGTTTTCGCGGATTGTCGAGTCCGTATGGTGGCAGGTTTTTTTTTTTTTTTTGACTAGTTTCTTGTTTGATTTACGATGTTCTTCGATTATTATGTCTAATTATGTCTTTTTTTTTTTTGTAATTTAGACTTTCACGCCACATATGCAGCCAACGGTTGTGAAAGGTGGTAACAGAGACAAAGGCTCGACTACAAAGAAAACGAGTAGCGGGCGGAAAAATAGTTTGGGAAATCAAGAGCAGGCAAAATACTCGATCGAGTTATGGAAGAAAGCATTTAGAGATGCGTGTGAAAGGCTTTGTCCTATTCGAGCAGGCGGACACGAGTGCGGCTGCTTGTCTGTGCTCATTATACTGGTAATGTATTCATATCATTGACTTTCGAACACAACATTCTTAACCGAATCGAAAAAAGAAAAAAACGAAAACGGGTATTTTTTGTTTTTAGGTAATGGGGCAGTTAGTTAATAGGCTGGATGTGGCGATGTTCAACGCGATTCTACGTGAATCTGCTCAAGAAATGCCGACGGACCCTGTTTCAGATCCCATTAGTGATTCGAAAGTCCTCCCGGTGCCAGCTGGCAAATCGAGCTTCACTGCCGGTGCACAGTTGAAAAATGTCGTAAGTACTGCACAAATATTTCAGACAACTGTATTTAAGGTTGTTAAATTCTGTTTTTTTTTTTTTTTTTTTTTTTTGTAGATTGGAAACTGGTCGAGGTGGCTGACCGATCTCTTCGGATTAGAAGACGACAACGACAATTTTACCAATCTTGAAAACAGCACTATTCATAGACCGAAATCTTTCAAGGCATTTCGACTCCTCCACGCGTTAAGTGATCTAATGATGCTTCCGTTTGGAATGCTCGCCGATATTTCGACCCGAAAAGAGGTTTTACTACACTCTAATTTCGAACCATAATAATAACAAATTATTACATATAGTTATAATTGTTTCTAATTTTCTTCGGTTTTCAAAAGGTTTGCCCGATGTTCGGTCCTTCAATAATCAAAAGGGTTCTAAAAAATTTCGTCCCCGACGAATTCAGCCCCCATCCTATTCCACGTCACATAATCAACGCAATCAATTCCGAGGTTATATATTAACAAATTTTTAAAAATATTTAAATATATATACTTTTTTTTGTTAATTTGTTGAAATTTTCTTGATAAATAGGAGATTTCGGATTCTTCGGGGGATCAAATAATTACGACATTTCCATGCAATGCAACTCCGACAAAATATACAGCTCCTTGTGCAGCTTTACTTACGAGTGTGGGAGAAGTTGGAAGCAAAGTGATTAAGAGTGGCAGATTATCGACACTGACGAAATCGTACACTAGTGATGATGAGCTGGACGAGCTCGATTCGCCGTTGACTTCGATTATTCCGGATAGCTACCAGAGTTCTTCTGCATTGACAAGGCTCGGTTTGATGACTCAGGAGAAAGGTAGTCGAAATGTTGCTCGATATCAGTTGCTGAGGGAGATATGGAAAGACGACGAATAGCAACTTTTATACATATATACGCACTTTTCGTATATATATACAATGTTTAGTGTATTTTTTCTTCATGCAATGGAAAAAAATTTAAGGACTCAAATTGTTGTAGTTCATTTTTTTGCTAATTTCCTTCGAATATTTTCGATAGATTCTTATATGAGATGGTGAGTGAGCATTCTATTTTCTTTAGAATGAGTAGGTCTGAAAGTCGGATGGAATAAATCAGAAATCGACCTCTTTATAAAATTTCCGGGTTTTTTCGGCCGTACAAAACACTTTCAATTCCAATTCCAAAAATATTTAGTTATTTTTGGTAGATGGCCTAACTATATAGTTAGTATACTTAAACATTACTATTATGTTCTCATCATAGGCAAACTCGGATATATTTTGGAGCTCTTTATACTGGTCTACGAGATGCTACATCTGGTGAAAAGTATCGGGCTTGGGCTTGTTCCATAGGTCTATACAAATAAGGGTAAATTATGGGAAGTTCCCTAAACTTAGGCAAAATAACGAAAAATACCCCCATCTATCCATAATTACTAAAAGCCCTCTCTGACTAACTATTGACCAAGTTTTTAAATAGAAAATGTGTAAAGTTCATTATACCCTTCGGTTAAATACGTGAAAAGTAAAAGAAAAGGTCTGAAATATGTAAAGTCTACATCGGGATCTCGAGCAAGGTCATGAATTTTGGGAACAACTTCACTAATGATATCTCAAGAAATTGATACAAAAGGTAGAATCGACATTTTTTTGCGAATATTCCTTCGAAACAAGAAGGTTTTGTGAAAAGTCACACCATACGGGGTTTTGTGTAAGACATAAACAAACGTCAGGGGATTTTCGTAATTATGAATAGGTGGGGGTGTTTTTCGTTATTTAGCCTAAGCTCGAGGGTTTTCGTAATTTACCCTACAAATAATTATCCAATAAGTACATGTATATATATATACACATGAGTGTGAGTTATTATGTGTAGAACAATGGTGCAGAATCACCCGATGTATTTCACCGGGTGCAGAAAATATAAGATGGATTAACTATAGTTAGTATGCTTTGAGATTGACTATTGTGTTCTAATCATAGGCAAAAGGAATGAAAGCCATTGACATTTTATGTTTCAGTTAAAACTAAATACACCCACACTATGTGTGTACTTTTACACACACACAACAGCTAGGATTAATGAGAGCCATATATTCTCATGGATTTAACCATGTTCTAAATTGAAATGCTATACTTTTACTTTTCAAAATTTATTTTGTACAAAGGTTAAAAAAATAAAAATTAAATAAAAAAAATAAAGAAAAAAAATGAGAGTTCTCAACTTCATGTGGTGGATACCTTTAAAGGTCATGAAATCTGGTGCTTCCCTTTTGAATTTGGTATGAAAATATATGAATATTAATTTGCATTTTTCTTTTTTCTTGATCTTTTTATGGTAAATGTACTATCCGATTTCTTGGGAAAAAAAAAAATTCAGGAATCAAGAAATGCAGAGACGAAAAATCCAAGAAGGAGGCCACTCCACACGTGCGGGTCCACGTGTTTGGCCATGGCCCACAAAGCATGCACAAAAGCACAAGATCTCGACGGACCATTTGGAACAACGGCCAAACGAGCAATTGCGTTCGCAACTTATTTCACCCCATTAATTTACGGAATGTTCCGTCAATGGCTCTCCATGCTATCTTTCATAGACGATCAAATCCTCATCTTCGAACGAATGGCCGAGATCGTTCTCCCCCCATGCACACCTCTTTTCGACAAAATCGACTCCCTACTTTGCTCCGCGGAAACCCTACCCGAAAACCTCGATAGTATCATAAAAAAATTCCCCACGATAATTCACAACAAATTCCCTTTTCTTGATTGGATCCTCGTTCATCTCATCTCACGATTGAATTGTCTTCTCTCGATTCTAACACATTTTGGATCGAGATCGACGGGCGACACTAGGGAGAAGGAGATCAAGATTGATGTAATGAACTCCAATGAAAATAGTAACAACAAAAATATTTATAACAAATCGGGAGAAATGGTGGAAGACGAAAAATCGAGTTTGAAATCATGCGAAGTGCTCGTACAAAAACCGGTGACGAGGTTGGACTCTTTGAAGAAGAGGCTTAGGGCGTCGCTCGATCCAGATGCCTTTTGTGATGCGGATAACTCTCCGATGTACTCCTCGTACCAGTCTGCGAACTCGTCTCCGATTTCCGACTACACGCAGTTCGAGACGTACCCGTTTAGCCAAACGGGCCGACCCGATTCGATGAACTGCTCTTACAAGGAAGTGCTCGAGAAGGGGAAGAAGGAAGACGAGGATACGGTAGAGGATAACTCGACGACCGATATTGATCATACTATGTAATTTTATTCGTGTTTTTTCAATTTGTGATGGCATAGATTTTGAGGTTATTTATTATAGGGGTCATTAGCAATACACCCCTCCTATAGATAAAAACTAGTGATATGTCCATACCATAATTCTTTCTTTGTGAAAACCCCATACAATATTTATTTCCAATCTTACCCTCTAGTACCTATCACGTTTTTTTTATAATTATCCAGTATTTTTGAAATCCCTATTAATGAGGCACCTAATCCCGCTAATTAGGCTTAATTATATACTTTCCCTAATAAAACTGCTCCTAGTATAATTTATCTCAATTATTCTTTTTTTCTCTCTTTCCAAAACAACAATTTAATTCCTAAAAATCCTTCCAAATTCCTAAAAAATTGCTCCCAAATCAAAAAAAAAAAAAAAAAAAAAAAAAAAAAAAAAAAAATCGGATTTTATTTTTTTTATTTTTATATTATTTTCGGACTTTATTTAGTCATTTTTTATTTATTTTTATTTTTAATATTTTTTAATAAAAATATTATTTTAAATTTTTTTAAAACTTTTTTTAAACAAAAAATTGAAATTTTTTTCTCAATAGGTTTGCAACGCCGAATATGACTATGGTTGAATATGACTATATGTGACTATAAACTGTAGTCATATTCTTTCTTTATATTGTTGTTTTTTACGTTTTGAACTTAAAAATTCCGATTATATGGCATAGTCATGTTAACCGAATCATATAAAACAACGAAGATTCCCTATTATTTACGAAAACAATTCAATCAACATCCACACAAAAAATCACAATTTGAATCTTGTTATTAGAAGTCAACTTGAAAACGAGAAGATAGAACATATTCAACAATAGTCGTATTCGAATATGACTACACTCATATTCGAAAAATACATAAATATGACTATAGTCATATTCGAATATGACTATAGTCATGTTACTACTGCTGTTCAGATCTGGAAAAAAAATCGAAAAACATAAATAAAGATAGAAAAATAACGAGAGAGAGGGACGGGAGTCGACGAGGTCTTCATACACAAAATCACCCTGGCATATCTTCACCCCAAACGACCCTCCATACTTCAACATAATCATCAAGGTTGACGACATGATGTGCAGCACTACAAAAAAACATAAGAATGTGACTACTGTGTGAATAATTCTGCTGAATGAATCTGCACTATTCTGTAAATGCACACATAATATTACGTGAATTCAATTCAGCCACAACAAACACATTGAAACTTACACTAGCATGTCAAGTAACGCAAAAAAAAAAAAAAAAAAAAAATTACAATTCGAATAACTAAATACATAAATACGAGTATAGTCATATTCGAATATGACTATAGTCATGTTGCTGCAACTGCATTCTCATGCTCAAACTGCATCTTTTCAAAAAAAATCGACTGATTAACAACAATTGGAATATCAAAATCAAACACAAATGACCCCAACAAATTTTAAATGGAAAATCTCTAAAAGTGAGGACTAAAAAATGAAAAAAATCTCACCAAATTGTGATACTTTCACAATTTATATCCGGAGCTAGGGCGCACCAAATTCAATCTCCTCCGTACAGTATATAAAATATATACTCCGAATACTCTATCCAAATTTCGGCCACATCCAACGGTTTGATTGTACGAAAAACGCGTCCAATCTAGCTGCCCTTAATTATTAAGTAACAAAAACTAGCAGCGAGTTTTAAGATTCGATCTATATTTAGAGATGTCTGATTCCAATCTCCACCAGTCATAAGTTATACTGATGTGTTACGAGTCCTGTATAAAAATATCAAACCGATCCGACGGTTAGATCTTCCGATCTGGCCTCTGCACGAAAACTGCTGCATCTCAAAAATTTGATTTTTCCCCTCTTTTTTCATCCGGTCTTCGGAAGGAGAATCGAAACCCGGCGCCGGCGCCGAGTGCGGCTGAGTGGTCTCCATTGGCGAGTGGTGGAGGATTATGGGTCTGAAGAAAAAAAAAAGAGAAAGAGAGAGAAGTTGCGTGAGAAAGAGAGAGAATGAAAGAGAGAGATATGGAGATAATTAATGTAATCCTACAATCATGTGAGACGGTTATGGAAAATAAATATTGCAATTATTTTAAAAACTACTGATAAGGGTAGTTTCGTCTTATTACAATTGTTGAGGGGGGTTTTACTGATTAAGATTAGACTTTAGGTGTGGGCAAAAGTCTTAAAAGTCAAATAAGTTTAACTCATAATATTTATGGTTTGAGGGGGGTTTTGCATATTTCCCCTTTATTATAAAGAGTTTGGAGAAATTAATTATTCATGTTTGTACTTCATTATAACAAGTTCGATAATAGTAATTACCATAAGGGATTTCATTTGTGCAGGATGATTTGTGTCTAGTTTGGAGTTAATTATTTGAGTTGTTAAATTGTTGAGTCAATTTCCCTTGTATAAAAATCCTTAAATCTATACATGTACTACTTTAGGAATATTCACATTTTGCCCAATGGGGTATCATGTGGGTTTATACCATCTTACATCGGGTGAAATACACCGGATAGATCTTTACAATTCATGAGCGTACAAATACATGCACACTTACATTGGTGTACGTGTTTATCAATGTTGAAAATTCACTCGATGTACCCTTCACCGGGTATAGCACAAAAATAACCGTCGGGTGAGAGGTTGGAGCTCGACTAGATTGTATTAGATTAATTCATTACTATATTAAGATTGTTCCATTCAGGCCCCGTTTGGTTGGCAAGATAAGATTAGCCAAAATAAAATTAAATGATCTAATGAGACCCAATTATTTTATTGGAGCTTGAAACGTCCAACAAAAAAAAAACTAATTAGAAGATAAGATAAGCCATGATTATATAATTTTGGCGGGTCGACCCGACAATTTATTAAGGATACCAAACATCAAATTAAGTCCAACTATTTAGTTAATCATTGCTTATCTTGGCAAACCAAACGTGTTAAAGCTATTAAAAATTTTGGTATCTAATGTGATTTTCCAATAATATCCCTATTTTAAACAATAAATCATATCCTAATTTATTTCATTTTGGGGATAAAATCGTATTTCTTTTTTAATAGCAACCTAAAAAATTAAACATATAAGGTAGAGTAGCTAATTATTTTATGAATTAGTAACATTTACTTCCACACCAATTGTAGTGAAATAATGTAATCAAAAAAATATTTCGCGAGTTTAAATTACAATTTGGACAATATAAAAATAAGAGGTCTTAAGATATAGGTCCCTGGTGACAAAACTAATTAGAACTAAATGACAAGTAAAACTAAACTTTTGCTTCACATCCTTTATTAAATTTATTCCAAAAATGCCCTTCCACTCACAAATTCGAAATTTGCATTCAAGTAAAAATCAAACTGCATTTATATTTTTTAATTATGCATTTAATATCTTATTTTTTTTATCTAACATATTTTATTTTATTTTTACGGACTTTGTCAATTGTCATCTTTATTTTTTCGTTTTTCACCCTAGCATTTTTTACATGATTATTATAAACAACTTAATATTTTTCCTTATTTTTAACATTTTATTAAAAACTACGATTTTTATTTTACATTTTTGTTAAATAGTACAGCCGATTTTAAAAATACTATAGTCTACTATGGTATACTATGGTTTACTATAGTTTATTTATATTGAAAATTATGAATGTTTTTAAAAAAAAAATCGGTCGTAGTCGTCTATAGAAATCATAGAAATTCGTAGCCACATACTCTTAAGATCCTAGCTCGCATTTTGACCTTGTCGCTACCCATTCGTAGACACTCATAGTGATCCATAGACACCCGTAGTCATAAACGCTCATAAAAAAACGAAACCCTAGATCTGCAATCACAACCGCCATAACCGCCGCCCGCCATAGTCATCGTCTAACATATCCCATACCCACCCCCCACCATAACCGCGACCACAACCACAATCACTCTAACCGCCTCTATATCGGTCGACGCCATAGCCGCCGCCAGACCCGCCATCCACGATATCCGCCTTCATACCCACCGTCGCCACTGCCAGGTCCACCACCCGTCACAGCCGTTTTTATACCCAAGCAAAGATCCGTCTCAAAAGAGTATACCAGTCGTTGCTACTCACCATATTCGTCTTTATAATCAACCCACCATACCCTCCACCGCCATTTAACACTCAAATCTATAAATAAAAAAATAAAAAATAAAGAAAAGGGGAGGGGGGTTGGGGCGGCATGAGAGGAGAAAGAGAGAGAGAGAGAGAGAGAGAGAGAGAGAGAGAATCAAATAGAGAGAAAGAATGAAATGGTGGGTGGGTACGGTGGAATAAAAGAGAAACAGAGAGAAGGGGTGGGGTTGGATGGGGCGGCGCAAAAAAAAAGAAGTGGGAAAAAGAGAAGAGGAGAAAAAGTTGTAAGTTTGATTTAAGGGGTACCAAGCATATTACTCCCAACAATAATAATAAAAATATTCACAAAAAGAATCGCCCACCGTGGGGCTCGAACCCACGACCACAAGGTTAAGAGCCTTGCGCTCTACCAACTGAGCTAGACGGGCTTATTGATATGGAAGTGCCTCTTTCCTTATATATTGACATGTATAAGCGCTGAATACATTTTTTGTTCCTCAACTTCCTCCCTTTCCTTTTGTTTGAAGTATCCTAATTTTAGTTGGGACCGGACAAGGCAATCAAATTTTGGTGCCCAAAAAGATGGAATGCAAACAAGTGCACAAAAATTATACGGAAATCGAAACCGTTACACACACATCCGGAAATCAAAATGCGTGTGAAAATGATTTGAAAAACTTCCCCAACAAATCGACATTTTACGAGTTATCCAGTACACGAAAAGAACTGCCTTATGCAGAGAGAACACACCGAATTAGGAGCTGATTCATTATAGATATATCAACTTTATAACCAAAACGTTACTCATCTCCCAAAAGCTGAATCCAACAATTTACAAACTATTCACACCTATACTTGTCTACCATTTTCCATTTTAAAAAAAAATTAGTAATAATAAAATATAGAAAAAGATATATAATAGATCTTCTAGTGTGTTACTTCATACTACCAAATACAACAAACTACCCGATTTCGTCTCAACACTGGTACACCGAAAAACTCTTGTTCTTCCTCCAAAAGCTCCACGCCTTCCCCACTTTCCTCCTCGAAACCGACTTCGACAGCGGCTTCGAATCCTGATCTCCAATCAAAACCGCCACATCACCGCTCTCAAACCTCGGCCTAGCGGCAGGACTGGGGCTCGGCGACGGGTCCCGCTGCCTCTGCTCCCTAAACAGCATCAGAAGCTTCTGCGCCTTCTGCTTCCCCCTCACAGTCCCGTTAACCGAAATCGAAACCAACGAAGGTATCACCCCTTCTTGAAGCACCATCTGGCTGCACTTCTCGCTCGCATTGCACAGTATCAAAAGGCAAGCCGCTGCCTGCTCCTGCTCGATTGGCTCTCCCAAATCAAGAACGGAGGCCAAAGCCCCCACTAGACCTGGTGTCGTTATAATCTCGTCTCGTGCGGTTTTGCTCGAAGCTAAGTAAATTAAAACGGCGATGCATTTCTCGGTCCACGCTTGTTCGTTCGGCTGTGTGATGAGGGCTTGTAGGCCGTCGATTATGCCAGCTGAGAGAAGGTGAGGGATGTTTGTGGGTTGGTTCGAGATGTTGTAGAGCGTGTGGAGTGCGTCGAGCTTGCATTGCTCGTCGGTTTCGTTTTTGAGGACCCATATCAAGAAAGGGACTGCCTCGGTTGTTCCGATTATGGGCTTGGCCTCTTCGAGACATGAGAGGTTTAGGTAAAGGGCTGTCGACGCTGCGATTGAATCGCTGTTGGCTATCATTTCCTGCAGTATTGGAAGTACTCCAGATGCCAGCATCAATTCTTTGTTTCTGAAAAGTAAAGAATATATAATCATGTTAGGCCTCGTTTGGTTCCCAAAATAATATTAGCCAAGATAAAGATTAAATAATCTAATGGAAATCCAATTGTATTATTGGACCATGGTAGGTCCGGCAAGATAATAATTCCGTGTCGACCCGGAAAAATTATTGGGTTTACCATATATCAAATGAAGTCCAATTATTTAGTTAATCATGGCTAAACTCCCCAACCAAACTAGGCCTAGGAATAGCAATTACATTAGACATCGCCGAAAAAGAGAACTAGGATCATTCAATATGGAATAGAGGGAATCTATATATGCGTTAAGCCGTAAAAGTATTAAGTAATCGAAGCAAAGAATCAGACGAGCTTATACGAATAGATTACATACCTGTTATTATTTACTGCAAGGTTGAAGAGAGCCATTGCTCCAATCTCCTGAGCCATCACGTTTCTGGCAGAGACGGCAGACTCCAAAAACCGAAGCAAGGCTTCCGTAAAACCATTAGCCCCCATATAAATCCTGGCTTCTTCGTCGTCCTTTAGCAAGTGCCTTATTTGCTCTGCCGCTTTGCATTTCTTCATCAGGTCATCCTCTTCCACTAATATTCTCAAGAGATCCTCGTAGTTCTCAAAGGCGTGAACTTCGCAATCATCCTCGTGTGCAGAAACAGAAACATCTTCCTCTTCATTTCCTTCAGCCTCCTCGATGGTCACACTGTCGTTCAAAGGTACAACCTTAACACCTTTGAACTTGCACGAACCGATACTTTCTAACGACTTTGAATTCGCCGAGTCACTTTCAGACAGCACTAGCCTCCAGTAATTGAGATCGAGCGATTCCGGTGGTCCATCGGGAACAGGAATACCGTTATGTTCGCACCAACTAGCAACCAAACCCTTGACACAATAATTTGGAGTCAAAGAAAGATGAGGGAGCTGCTGCTGAGTTTTAGGACAAGTATTATGGCCATCACCAAACCATTTCTCGATGCAAACCCTTTCGTACGTTTGACCAGATGCTATAATTACGGGGTCGTACATGAGCTGCAATGAAATTGGGCACCTTAATTCTTCAGGAGGGACAGACATTTGGTCTGATCTCCTGAAATTCGGCTTAAAATTGAACGAACTGAGTTTCGTCAGCTGGCGGTCAAACGCACAGCCGTTTCGCCCTAGCATAATACCATCTTCCAATGACGATCCGTTTACTGTGGGCGAGCAAGGTGTTGATCCTTGCGAGTCATTGTCGTCGGAGAATTCGCTCCTGAAAAGCTTCGAGTACTTTCTTATGAGATGCAGAAGATAAGCAACGATCGACTCTTTTCTTTTGTCTTCTTCAGCACGGGCTCTATCTATTAGCTTCTTCAAAGACCTTCTCTCTCTAAGTGCTGCTCTTATAGAGGTGATTCCCAGTTTACAAGCAGCTTGATGAAAAGATTCGAGCTCGTTGTTGTCGTTAGAAGTGTTGTTGAAGTTTCTACCTTGTTGGAGAAGTTCAATGATGTCGTCGCCAATTTGCTTCTCCTCTGGGTCGAGTGAGAACTCTATCGTTACAAGTTCGGCTAGAACTCCATCAATCTGGAAAGAAGCACTACTCAAGTCAGAATAACATTCTAAGAAAACAAACGCTGCATTTAAAAGGTTTGAATATATTTTATTTAATCATAATGCAGGGAAACTACCACAATGAAGCGTTAAACATTAATTAGCCCCTAAAAGCAGATAACAAAAGGAATGGGCTAGTTCTTGAGCATTTTAGCCAATCAGAAACCCCTTTATCATACTGTGATTTCCATTCCTTCTCATTCAGTCTTGTTCCACAAATTCTAAGTGGGTCACTTTTGGTGCTGTCCTATTGTTAACTTAGTCGAGAAAAAAGAGCAGCCAGAAACTTCCACTACCAAAACCCACTTAAGATTTAAGAAATAAATTACAAAATCAAATTAATGACGTATGGTACAGTACCTGTATACGAATGGCTTGTGGAACGATATCTTCGACACGCTTTAAACTATCTTCTAGAGCACTTCTTGCCCTCTCAAATTTCAGAACAACAGAATCCCCAGTTATTGCCTGATGACACGAAAAGCAATAATGTAAGTAGAAGGAGTGTAAGAGAAACACATAGAGGAAGATAGTTGCATTAAATCTCTGTTACGGACACTCCAAATCACAAACTAACCGTACAGCCAAATGATACTTAAATCTATGTTCTCATACACATATTAAATTGCAATTATAATTTAAAAAATTCAGAAGCATGTTAACTTGTTCAAACCAAGAAAGTCAATGAGAGATATACCAAGAATCGAGAATCCTAATCACAATTGTGGAAGTTGAAAAGGGTGTATTTGTTTCTTCCAACTACTTTGTAAGCGGAGATTAGAAGGCAGCAATTAACAACTAACGTTTCTGGCCTTTATGATCGAGAAATTAAGTAGTTGATTAACACTTAAACAGAATATGCAAACCAGAAGCATGTCTTACCAAGTAAAGTTTACTACATTCAGCACAGTGCTGAAGAATATTCTTCGTTTTCTCAAGTGCAATATGCAGAGCACATAGTGCCTGAATGCCGGATGTGCTCCTCGGCCGAGCTGCTTCTAGGTCCGGAAATATTGCCAACACTTTAACATACACTGAACATAGGCTTTTGCACATCTCCCCATGTAACTGCACCAAAAACCATATAATATGTCAATTATTCAAACACCAACAAAATTCGAAAAAAAAATATATGAAAAAATAAAAAAGCTAGCCACTATACCTTTGGCTCACCAATAGCGAGTAAGTTTTCTTCAATCTCGGAAGTGTCCATGTTCAGCGTGGAAACAAGGCTGCGACTACGACAGAATTTTCACGAAAACCCTGAAAACATATCGAACATCAAATTTAATACAAAATCATCATTAGGAACAATCAACTATTTATTTAACCTAAAAAGAAAAGTAAATTAATCATTTTCTTTAACTATTTGATTATTCAAAATTAGCAAACCAATGATTACTACCCTCATCATTTAGTCTCGTCTCATCGACCTAATTAAGGAACTCATTAATAACAAACAATAATTAGCCATCTATTGAAAAACAAAACAATTATTGACAAAATATTTCTCAACAACAGACAAACAAGCAGAATTACGAACAGGAAACAATCCACATTGCAGGCAAAAACTAAACATCCGCAGCCAAAAATCAATAAACTTCAATTAAAAAATTAATTGAACTTTGGCAGCGGGTATAAAATGTGCATTGAAAAACATAATGTAAAATAGAAACTCAAACATCACATCCAGATGGCATATGGCCTCAGCTGCAAATCAATCAAAAAATTGGAAAATAAATAAACAGCTAAACATTACCGAATGAATTATTTCCTAATACCACGCAACATTTTTCAGAAGAAAAAATCAAATATTTTATAAAATGTTATCAGATTGCAAAAAAAAATAAAAAAAAAAAAAAAACATACCGGAATCAACCGAAAATGGTCCAAGGAGGCTTCATCAAACGAACAAGCGCGAAAATAAATAATGCCGAAAGCTCAAAATATATACGAAAAACAATAGATTTTCTTCACCGGATCAAACGGGTTTTAGTGAGAGAAAGAGGAGAGATGAGTTGAGAGAAAGGAAGAGAATAAAGGGGGCGAAAGGGTTATATTTTGCAATGGAATATTAGAATTAATATTCTATTGAGGGGAGAAAAATAAAATAATGAGGGGTTAATTTATATAATTTGGGGGGTATTTAGTAAAAATAAAATAATGAGGGGTTAAAATGGAATTTAAAACCCGAGATTGTCTCCCCGGCTCACTGGCCGACATTTGCCGACCCCCTAGTTTGTCGGCTGGCAGATCTACCATAAATGTGGAAAATGACACTTTTAACCTTCGACAAGTAGCTTTTAGTTTTTCCTTTTTCTTTTATCTCGTATTATTATTATTTATTTATTATTTACTTATTAAACGTCCATCGGTCCCCGAGTATATACAGTAGAGCTTCGATAAATTAATTTTTTTTTCGGTCGCAACTTGTGGACATCGTGTTAAATAATATATTGTTGAATTAATAGAATTTGGTTGATCCAGACTATATTAATTTATAAAGGTTTAACTGTAAATTGATTTATTTGTTTGTTTGTTTATTTATTTCATGTTGTATATAAATAATACACATTGGAAAAAAGAAATTCAATAAAATTGACCTCGGACTTTTATTAACTAAATTCAAGTGGTTTCGGGTTTTTTATTTAAAAAAATAGAGGAAAACTAAAAAGAAAAAAAGAAATTGATGTTAATGCGTTAATTACAAACATTATTTGTGGTACCAAAAGTACTCTATATAAATTTACATCAGAAAATATTAAAAATGAAAAAATAATGCACATCAATAAACAGAAAAATAATTATCTTATTTAGCTATGCTAGTATTTTTTTAAATGTCCCACGTTGTAGAAATTAATTAATCATGTTTGTCTTGTCGGATAAACAGCATCGACATAAAGAAACAAAATTTGAAATCAAAGTAATTATTAATTTATTATTATTATGTGATGTGCTGTTATGTTTGAATTCAAAAGAATGATAAATAAATCCCTAGTGTTGTTGATGATTGGATTTAATCATCATAGCAAATAAATAGTATAAGAGGGACTTGAAAACATAAATCATGTAACTTGTTTTTGCAATGTTTCACTTTCTAACCCCTTCCTTAATTCGTATGGATGGAAATCGGACGGATCGAATCGGATCAAATTAAGCGCTTTCAGAAAAATTCTCAAAAAAAAAAAAAATCGGAGTTGAAAAATTCATCCCAATTTCGTTCCAAAAAAATGGAAAAAAAATCGTAAATCGGAATATCAAAAATTGGAATGAAAAAACTCGTCCCAAAATCAGAATTATTCGATCGGAATCGGTGGAAATCGAATAAAAAAATTCGTTTAGTCACTTAAAAATAAAAGTGTGAAATAATAGTGATATTATAAGTGTAGTTTTCAGGAAAAAAATGGATTTTTTCATAATTATTCTTTTAAATTGAAATCGGATCGAAAATCGAAATCTCATATATATTCCAATTCCGATCCAAAAAAATAGAATTTGATTTTTGAAATTTGGAATGAAAAATATTTCCAAAATCAAAGTTAAAGCTTCCAATTTTTATTATTTATTTGTTCAATTTTTCATTACATTCTATATTATATCAAAGTTTTCATTAGATATATGCTACTATAGATCCTATAAGATCAATAATCTTTTATGGTAAATTTAATCTCGATATAGGTAAGTCCTCTTTATTATTTTGACTCCAATAATCAACTCTTAATATGTATTAACTTACGGTTGCATCCATATTTACATGATTATTTCGAGTTCGATAATCTGTTTTTAAGTATTTCCAAAATTAGTTTTTGTTTTTGCTTTTACTTTTCTTAAAATAAATTATTTTTTAACTTGTAATTTTAAAATCACTCATGTATCTGTTTTTTCAATTCAAGTTGATTTTCCAATATAATTATAAAAATCCTAAACTTGTAAAAATAACAACTTAAAATCAACTTAACTCATAATCATTGACTTGTGCATTTAAATAAACTTTTATAAAAACACCACCTTAATAATTGCTTCATTCTTCTCTACAAATAAAAACCCTAAAAATTATTTGATTTTACACAAAGGGAAATCAAGGGGTAATTTGGTCAATGAAGATTAAGTTTCCACTCTCCCGCCCGGGGGTACGGATTAGTGCACAAGCCTATGCTCACTACCAGTCCACGTGACCTTGAATTTCACCATTTTCGAATTATTAATTTTCACCCCCGAAAGTATTTCAATTTATCCGAAAGCCCCTGCCAAGATCCGTAATTCTCGGAGCCCCCTGCAGCTTCCCTCCATTTGTGTCAAAGATGGACCATAAAAATATCACACTTCGCACGTGTGAAACGTGACACGCCAAAGTAATCAATCTATGGTCGTGAATTAAATTGGAAAAAGAAAGAAAACATAAAAATTACTCCATCTATTTGGAAATCATTGCTATGTTTCTTACATTATAAAACACTCTTCTCAAATTTAAATATCGTTATGTATTTCGGCATATATAGAATAGTGGATATTTGTCAAAAGTCCCCCATTACACAAGTCTAATTACAATAGATCCAATTTTTTTTTGAATTTTTGAGATAAATCCATTTCAGCATTAAATAATAAAAAATAATAAATTATCACTATTATACCCCTAACTTAAAAGTAACGTATGTTTTATGATTGGAAATAAAAAAAAAAAAAAAAAAATTAAAAAGATTTGTAATATCTTTTCCTATTATATCGTAACAACACATTCTCATATAATTCCACGATTGTGCCCTTAATTACGGTTGAAACCCCGTTTCAACGAAATCTGGGATACACAGCTGCGCGACGGAGATTCAATTCCTCATCAGGGTCATCACAACCCCTCTTATGCCTTTTTTTTTACTGTAGTCGTTGGCGTTCTACAATTCGGAGATATAGCGTGAAGATGGTTACTGTAGTCGTTGGCGTTCTACAATTCGGAGATATAGCGTGAAGATGGTTAATATGAAAATCTCAGCTTCGGCGAATAGCCCTAACGCCGATGGCATCCACATACAGCAGTCGTCAAAGGTTACCGTGATGAACACGCACATCGGCACCGGAGACGACTGCATCTCCATGGGGCCCGACCACCAAAATTGTCCTACTCAGGTATATAAAGAAAAAAAAAGAAAAAAATTAATATACTAAAAAAAAAGGTATATAAAAAAGTTAAAAGCAACTAAATTTTTTTGGGTATTAATATTAATTAACAGTAGTTGTTGGTGGATTATTGTTTTTGTTATTACAGGGGTCGGGGGTTGAAGATAAGTGACGTGGCATATGAAGATATACATGGAACATCAGCTACACAAGTTGCAGTGAAATTTGACTGCAGTAACAAGAACCTGTGTAGTGGAATTACATTGGATGGAGTTAATTGAAGTTACAGAGACAAACCGGCTACTGCTTCTTGTGCCAATGTTGTCGGGTCGGCTGCTGGTGTTGTCCGGCTAATCATTTATCGCTATATTCTCCGAATTTTTCTGTTAACTTTTTGTTATGTTTTTAGTCGATTACTTTAATTCGTTGTGAATTAAGTAGATTTTCGATAAGTTTGTAGTGAATTACATCAATATTAATGTGTTTACTTTAATGTCATAGTGAATTTTACGGTAATGTCATAGTGGTTTTCGATAATTTCATAGTGGTTTTCAAAAATATAAACAGTGGTTTTCATGTTTATATAGTTGTTTATACAGAGTGGTTTTTATGTTTATATAGTTGTTTATACATAGTGATTTTATATTTATATAGTTGTGTATATATAGTGGTTTCAATGTTTATATAGCTATTTTTATATAGAGTGGTTTTCATGTTTATATAGTTGTTTATAAAAAAAAAACCATTTTAAAAAAATTCGAAATTAAGAAAAAAGAAAACCCATGAAAAAAACGAAAATAAAAATAAAACTTAAAAAAATGAAAAATATGAATAAGATAAAAAATAATTTAAAATAAAAAAACCAAAAATAAAGAAAAATAAATAAATAAAATAAAATAATTATAAATTTTCTTTTAAATCAAAATAAAGAAACCATTAAACAAAAAAAATAAAGAAGAAAAGAAAAAAAAAACTGAATTGACGTAATGAGGGGAATAATTTTTGGAGAAGATTTGAGTGTAGATTATGGATATAATTTTTTTTTTAATTAAATAATTATACTAATTAATAGTTAGTGGGGGCATATATGTTTTTCAGGCCCATTGGATTTATCTCAAATATCATTTATAAATAAAGGATTTATCAAGAATTAAAATCCCAATAAATGGTGTTTGACATATAGCCCCTATAGAATAATAGAATAGTAATTTAATTATGTTCACGTTTAATTCCTGAATTATAGGGATTATTTAATTTTTCTCTCGTACGTCATTGGATTTAAATGCAATTAACTAACCACTTGGGGACCAATTTTTTTTTTTTTTTAAATTATTGTCCTTATTTTTTTTCCTCATATAATCTGTAAAAATTAAATTGACACTGTACTATAAATTGTTTGCAGATAAAAATAAAATAAAAATAATAGTATTTGTACTTTGAGCTGCACCTGCACATCAAGAATCGAGATATATTAAATGTAAATGCAATTATATTTAATTTTATAATTTTCATTATCCAAATAAATTACACTAGTGTAATGTAGAAACTAATATTATGTATGTATAAAGTAACAATATTTTGGTATTAACACGTATGAAATTTTAGAAACTAAAAAACGAATATTTAATCGAACTACCGGTTGTATAGTCACGCGTTAAGAAATGTGATATGCTACAATCCCATGAACACACGAGCGTCTGTTGTTACGTGAAATAAATGAAAAAATCTATAAACTAACGAACTTATATATTGTGTTTGTATCATTTTAATTAAATGACTTCGAGTTTTTTTGTCTATGGTTTATAAGCTCTTAAAAAATATTTTATAGATGTGTAAGAACTTATAAACTATTAAAAGGTGTTTGGTAAAAAAATTCATTCAATTTTTTTTAAATAAATTGTTAGAGAACTTATTAAATTAGTTTTAAAAAATACACACACCTCATATTTTTTTATTTAAGATTTTATTCTTCATTTAACATCTTATCATATCATATCATACATTTTAAATAAGTTTATCCAAATAGATTCTCAATACAACAAAACCTCGAGAATTTAATATTCCCCTAAATTAATAGAATTTTGTTAGTTTCAATTGTATTACACCCTCCGTATCAAATTAACCGTCACTTTGGGAAGTTTTTCTTGTTCCATATTGCTCTGTTAC